TGAATGCATTCTGGCTCGACACAATTTTGGCAGCATCTGCCCGTGCATCATTTTAGTCCAGAAATCGGTGATAACGATGAAAACGTATATTAACATAAACAGTGTAAAAGGGTGATATGTCCGTCAACGAAGAAGACGCTCAACGTGTACGCCGGCGTTCCGCTTGCAGTGCAGGAATCACCTGAGGCAATAGACCATAACTTTTGCAAAGTTTCCGTGTTGATGGCGCGACATTCGTTGACACTACTGCATTTCAGATGTTCCAGTGAAATAGGTGTCGTAAACGCTCCTTTTCAAATAACCCCATGGTGACCAAACAGGCCAATCCGCTGGACCTCCGCGACCGATCCACTGGTGACCGAACACTTAGTTGTGGAAATCCCACACCGCTTATGCATAGAGGGCAAGTGCGCCATATTGAATCTATAACGGCTGAAGCGAAGTGCCGAAGTCGCCGACAAGAATCGGTGGTGAAAACATCTTTTATCTTGTAGCTCCTACGTTACTTACCAGTGACAGTTCCCTTACCATGTGTGAACTATGATTGACAGAGGAATGGCGGTAATCCTAATTCAGTTACTTAGAAAGCGCGAGGTTAACGTCATATCTGTAACGGAAATACGTGACCTGGCTTGCAAGAAGCGCCGAAACAGTCTACTGAGCTTCAGCGGTTTCGTCCACAGCCGCCAACTTTACAGTAAACATCAACAACGACGCCTGCACCCTGTCGGACAGTTGAGCGCTCGCGCGTTCCTCACCTACCCGTTTTGTTCAAATTTCTCGTCGCGTTCATTCTACCCCGACGAACTATTGGCACCATTACCCATCACAACATGATGGTAGTGGAATCAATCGCTATGCATTATACATATATGCACTCCACTGTTTCAAATATCTGGTCAATACTTAGCCAAAAGATGAGTCTAGATGATTTGTAGGAGAAAGATCCTGGATACACTTGAAAGTCACCATATCCCCTATTTGTCTAAATATTACAATTTTACCTACATATAGTTGAATTCTTGAGCGTGTACCTACAAATGATCATACTCCTATCACTTCGTCTAGCTAGTTCTGTGTTCTCCTTTGATGCACTGGTTCGAAGATGCACTACGCCTTTCAAATTGATGTCTTTGGACCATCGTCGTCACTCACCAAGATTTTCCATCAAATTGCGATTAGCCTACCAGCAAGCGATTGTATCCATTATTATGTTCTTTAAGTCCCTATTACATTCTTCCTTGTTTTATTGTTGGCCATGACTGGTCTCATGCGCCGCTCCTCGCTAGTACGCCGATAAGCGGCATGTTTGGGCTACCAGTAAACCACGGCAAAGCATCGCTTCGTGTGTGTAACATGGTTCACAGCTCATGGCATGAGCTGTGTTGACAGGCCGAAAATTTATCGGACCATTTTTTCAAGAATTTGACGGGTAATTTGATTTTTATCAGAACTAATGCTTCACATTTGTCAGCATCCTCCTACGAAGAAATGTTACAGTCCAGGGTCACTCCACAGCTGCAGACCGAAGGCTTATTGAGTACCGTTTTGTGGCAGCAGGATGGTGCGCCTGCTCACACTGCACAACCGGTACGTGATTACCTTAAGGAAACTTTCAGTAATCGCTGCATCGGTCGTGGAGGACCTATAGATTGGCCTGCACGGTCTCCTGATTTGAACCCCTTGGATTTATTTACATGGGCGTACTTGAAACTCCGTGTATAAAACCAGG